AATCTTTTCCCCACCCATCTCCTCATCCTGGACCCAGGCTTTGTAGCCATGAATGCCAGAGAAACAATGATGGTTTTGGCTAACACACAAGAAACAGCAAACGAGAAGATGATCCCAAAAGCAGATTGTCTGAGAAAGCAGGTCACTTTTCCTGGTTGCACCAGGAAGAGTGAAGAGGTGAGGAAGCAGAGCAGGATGGAGAGAAGAAGAATGTAGGTGAGATCTCGGTTGTTGGCTTTGACAATGGGACTGTCTTTGTGTTTAATAAAGGACCAAAACACAAAGGCCGTGATCAGTGAGAAGGAAAGGGAAATGGAAACTAAGGCGATTCCCAGAGGTTCAGCATATGATAGGAAAGTTATCTTTTTAGGGATACATCCATCTTGGTCTCTGTTTGCATATTGATCTTCAGGGCATTGGAAACAGTCATCCACATCTGAAAAATAAAACATTGTCCCTATTTTAGCACTAGTTTCTATTTCACTTATGGTTTCATTGATTCTGCTACATGCAAATACTATAGCTGCTTAGGGTTGCAGATAAAGCAGTGGTCATGTGAAATAGCATTTTGACTTCTTCCCTCATCTTCCACAATCCCCTGAAATGAAGACGCACAGAGCTAAGAGTTGAAAAGAAGGTACAGTGTTAATAAGGCCTCAGTTTGACTGATGGAACTTTGCTGGAGGAATGTATTTTAGCATTTACATTTGATTTAGTAGCTAAACTTGATTTAAAATGTAGTAATTTATGAGATTATTTCTCTAGCTGGCATTTGAAATCTATGGGTCTATTGATCAGGAATCCTTAATAACTGGCTAGCAAAACATTACGTGGAGATAATAACATTTTATAACTTCTAAATCACCTGTGTCCAGTGCAGATATTTGAATATATTGTACCCTACCCATTGTGTTAGACATCTTCCCCTCAGGGCATGGAACACAATCATAGCAGCAGAATTTTTCTCCTTCCTTCCTTTTTTTCCAGTTTCCAGGATGACAGTGTTCATTACAAAGAGAAAATGGAAGGACCTAGTCATAAAGATGAAAGAAATGACAATAGGATTTTTTTTTAACAGTAATTTCTTAATCCAAAATAAAAAGGTGGATTATTCCATGGAGAGGAGGATTGGATTGTTGATGTTTAGCCAGGAAATTTTGTTTCAACTCCTTTCTAATATTTAAAGGATGCATGGTAAAATTAACCAGGTTTCACCTCTTCAGAATACAGAAACTAATTTTAAAATTGGAAAAAAGGTCAGTAGGACATCACTTTTGTACTGTACTTTCAGAGTGCTTTCTGTCTCTGGCCTTAATAGGGAACCAAATTAAAATAGAGGAGAACAACAGAAACCATAAGCCATGTTGGATTTTCCTTCTGAAATTTTAGAGGTGTCTTTCACATTGTAACAGAGAATATGGTATCAGATATACTCATTAATCTCAGAAAGAATAGAATTCCTAACCTGGAAAATAACCACAGAGTGCCATCATGGGCATTGAAGAGAATCCATAGGAATCAGAGACACACTAGTCCTCTGCCACATTTCCAATTTCCAACCACTGCTCAAAATATTTTTCCTCTCACAGTGTGCTGTTTCTTTTCACTTAAGCTCTGACTGTCTGATTTCAGAATGATGTTCTGAGATGTTGATGTGCTTCAAGTCAAATAGTGACATTTTCTGTCAGACCATGATAGAACATTGTTCATCCTACATCAAATTATGGATGGACAATAGATTATCTAATAAGAATAGGCCAAATTAGTACCTGATTAAAATCCCTGTGCCAAAGAATGGTATCTCCATTAAGAGTGATTTTTTTTCCTCCTGAAGCACTTGGATCCAGCATTCCTACTTTCACTCTCTGGAAGGAGCTATTAGGAAATGTGACTATGTTCATGATGTCAAATCCACCTTTCACCTCTCTTTTATCATTAAAGGACACAAGTTCTCCAGCTGAGTTGTTAAATGCAATGCCTTGAAGAAATGGTTGGAGCTGGTTAAAAGAAAATACAAATGTAGGTAATTAAAATAAAAGGGTTGAAAGATTGGAAAATAACTTATATTAGGAGTATTTTTTTCTGGATGATCATGATGGAACAAAGAGCTTTTTGGACCTAGAAACAGGAGTGGTCACAATGAGATGTAAAAAGGTTTTCAAACTTTAGATAGGTGTTATGTTGTGAGCTCCCCAAATCTCACTACAAGATGAGTTGCATTTCTATACATTATCATGAAGAGAAGACCGAAAGTATTTCTGGATGTGGACTCATCAGTTTGTTGTGAATAAATTACCTGCCAGGGTTGGAGATCTGGAAGTTCAGATACATGATCGCCCACCCTAGTTCTGTGTTTGGATCTGAATAAGGAGAGGTCATGCAAAGAATGAGCCACGGCATAAACCCCATTGTAGATACTGTAGCTGTGGCCTGTCATGCTCATTTCAAACTGAGACCCAGGAAGACTCTCCAGGTTCTCCTCTCCAGTACACACATTGCCATCCCCTATGACCTTCTCTGGATCTGGCAAAAAACAGTCAAAGGCTTCCTCCCAGAAATCCTTAATAAACCTATCTTCTTTGATAGTATTAGGTTTTATGGTATGAAGAAAATCTTTAAAGGCCAGAATGTTTTTGGAGTGAGGAGTAAAGGAAAGAGATCCATAAAATAATTCAAGATCTAAGCGTTTTTGAAAACCTGTTAATATGAAATCAATCTCAGATGTCATGATCCATACCTTCTGAAATGTTATTTTCTCAGTATTTTCAGGGTCCACTAGAAATAAAACACTTCTGAGCCATGAAATTGTCAAAGATGCTCCATAGAGGAGAAACACAGTTACATTCTCATTGGTGAAATGCATGTAAATATCTCCAGCAAGTCTAGCATATTCCTGCATTTTATCTAAACGGGCTAGTTGCGGGATTCGTTGTATAAATGCCGAACACATTCTTTTCTCAGAAAGTAAAGGCTCAATAGTTTGCAAGAAATGTTCTCCACTGTTATTATCAACAGCAAAAATCCCAATCCACGACCATTTAAAATACTGAAGCAGTTCGATAATCCCCACATATTGATTGTCTTCATTGGGGACCATGGAATAAAAGGAAAATGGCTGAGTGTTATGGTTCTTCTCTGAGACAAATGAGCCATAGGTCAGCTAAAAGTAATTTACAGATGCATAAGTCTGGATGAAGGTGAATAGCAACTTAAATGAAGGAATATTTCAATGTAACTTTTAAGACCTATGTAAATATGATATAATTTCATGCATATCTATTTTGAACAATCACATCAGAAGGTTCCCCACCTTTCTGACTGCAAAATGATTCTAAAAGTGAGAAGAATATAGTAGAAGCCACGCTCAACCCTCTGAAGTTTCTTACCTGTGGAATCTTAAAGACACCTATAATGTCT